AATAAAAGTGAGCTCAACACTTGTACTCACCTGGCATTCGCTATCAGAAGCCAGATTTATATTGAGATGCGCTATGTGTCGTGCAATGTGACATTCATTCATGGCGATCCTAAAAACGTGTATTTGGAGCTAATGTATGATTTTATCTATTTATCCATAAAAGTCCTGTTGTCCGTGTGTACCATAGGGCTACCAAGTTTCCCTTTGAACCCAAACATCCACAGTTGTCTGAAATGTATTCATTTTATTTCGTTTGAGGTGATAAAAGGAGTGGTAGCTGAATTTTCCCACAATGGTATGAGTGGACCTTATTTTTCCATTGATTTTCACATAATCTTGCTTCCTAACTTGACTGACTGCCTCTCTTACAAACCTGGCGTTTGGAGCCAGTTCGCTGGTTTGGCCTCGCTGTCATCTTGAAGGGGTCCCAGTTAGTCAACCGAACAGATCGGGCCCTGGTGCCTCAGGCTTAAACTTAGCAACTTTTGCTCGTGTTATTCAGAGTACACCTCTTTCCTATTAATGATTCTTTATCTCTGACCAAACCCGAAGTTATTTCATTACTAAAGTGTGCACACAAGATTAAGCCGATTGGATTGGACCCCTACGGCCTCATCCAGACCAACCAAGGTCTTAAAAGATTTTTCGTAGGATGCTATTGAAGCATGAGGTATGACTTGATAGCTCATTATTCCAGCCTTTATTTCGATAAAGGAAGATAAATTTACTCCACTTATGTACACATACAAACACATAAGCATGCATGCATATAAACATAATAATACATATTCGCAATCACATAAATGCATATTCACATACACGTATACTTATGCTCAATTACGTATACATGCACATACACATAAATGCAGGCGCTCACGCACATACACAGATACGTCTGCTTGCCAAAGGCCTGGCAACAAATTTAGTACCCCTCCCCGGCCAGTCTATGTTCTATTCTAATAACAGCCCTCCAACAAAGATTTCTCGAAATCTCTCTTTAGAGGCGATTTTCCTAATGTCACTTCCATAGTGGTTTTGGTGTCCAAGGCTGCTGTCGACCCCTCACCCAGCAGTGCTTACTGCCATCTAGCCCACTTTCTAGAAGAATTGCGAAACCTCGAAGTAACCGGAAGTGTACGAAGAGTCGATATTTTCGGAGAAGTTCAGAAAATGAGGTATTTTCAGTGCCCGATGGCACACTTTGTATTTCGTTTGTACAAATAGTTTGCCCTACCACGGAACGAGTGAGTTTGACCGGCCCAGTTCTGTCTGACTCAGCCGCCTGCCTACAAATCGACGCACGCATTATGACCTGAAAGCAAAGTTGGGCTGAGAATGGATGCGACGGCAATGAATATTAAAACTCTATGAAGACGAAAAAAGTTGGGTTTCGAGGAATCTCTTGTTTCATAATTGTTGAGCTCACTTCCATTTCGAATGAAAGTGTTTGGTGAAGAGCTTCGAAGGTCGATTCCATCAGAAGACGACCATCTGTTGATTGGCTTTACGGGAAAATTCATGTTGGAGCTGTTTCCGAGGTAATCTTCTTCGATTCCAATTAAAAGGTGGTAAGCTTTCGTCCGTCATATGACGAACATTATCAGAGCAAGGTATCATCATCAAAAGCAAATTCAAGCTAACGAGTTAAGAAAACTCACCGACAAATCCCTAAAAAGCCTCTTTGATCAGGTTGATTTGGTTGGTAACGGTCATATGTCATGTTTGCTCTCGGCCATCAAATTTTGCTGACCACTATCTCACCCTATGTTGATGAGTCTTTTTTTGTTTTTGGTCTTAATACAAGAGAGCAAGAGTGAGCTAAAAGCACAGAGAAATGACTATGATTAGAACCAAGACAAGAAAAGACTATATGCGAAGAAAAGTAGGGTTTCGAAGATTCTCTTCTTTCACAATTGTTGTGCTTACTTCCATTTCGAGGGAAAGTTTTTCGTGAAGAGATTCACCAAACACTTTCACTCGAACTAAAGTAAGCACAACAATTAAAAAAAGACTAGTTGTGTCGTCTCCTTTTTGCAGGTGGCTCAACTCCCTCTCTATTCTTCAGTCTATTAATTAAGCACAAGTAATTTTTACTTATCTTCTTGCCTGTATTCTTTATACTCAATGCTTTTTCTATTCGGTTTATTTCGATGGCTACTCCAATTTTACGTTTAGCCGCAGACATGCCATAATCAGCAAAACGAGAAGTTTGAGACCATTCAATCTCATGTCCCGTTTCTGGCCTATGCTCAGCCAACTCCGTTTTTTTATAGAGGTTGTTTGACCTTGTTTTCGCAACATGGTCATATTGGTAGGAAGACTAATTGGAACGCAC